GGAGCGGCGGCTTCCTTTGCGTCGAGTCTCTGCGTGGGACACGGGAAGGCGTGGACCGGGAAAGGAACGTGCTGGGCGCGCTGGGCCTGCAGAGCCACTGCCTGGGTAGGAGTTTTCTGGTTTCTTTGCAAAAAGTGTTTCTCTCAAACTTTGGCCCGGGGCTGTCAGAGCTCAGCGAGGCTGCGACCTCCCTCCCGGGCGAGGGGCGAGGGGCACGGAAGCGGGCTGGGTGGGGTGGGTCACGCGGTGGCTGTGTCCACGGTGGCTGCACAGCCCTACGTGAAGGTTGCAGGGACCCCGGCTTCCTACACCCGCTCCCTGCCATCAGCCCTGGGGTCCAAATGTGTGCAGGTGTGCACGCTTGAGGGTAGACCCTGAGGTCTGCTGCAGGCTGGGCGTCACCTCCCCTGCCCCTGGGCAAAGCCCTCCGGATTGAGGTTTGGGATCCTTGAGGGGCGGCGACCTTGGGTGGGAGCTGGGGTGGGGCTGCGGGGCACGACACTGCAGACCCCTATCTCCCTTAAGGTTGGGTCTGACCCCACTTGAGCCCTGCACACCCGCTGCCCAATTGGACGGTACAGCCCTGACTAATGCCCTGCATCGGAAGCCGAAGCCTCACTTCCCATGGCCCTGGAGTGCGGCCTGGGGGCAGGCAGGGGAATTCCCTAAGCGCAGGGGGTGGGCCTTGGCCTAGGATGACCTGAGACCTAGGGCAAAGCCCCCCAGGGCCTGGAGAGGGGGCTGAGATCCTTGGGTCCTCGGAGCCTCTCAAGACCACCAGAGGACAGAAGGCTGGCGGTTCCCAAGATCTGTCACTGCCTCTGCAGGAGCACCCACCTGCCCTGTCCGCTGTGGCAGTGGACAGCAGGCTGTGAGGAAGGAGCAGGCCCAGACCTTGCTGATCAGTGCTGCCCTGTGTGCTGGCGGGGGTGCAGGTGGGCGGGACCTGCACGTGCAGGTCTGGGGTCTGGGGTCTGGCCAGGAGCCGCAGCCAGGACTCACTGGGGCACCTGGTCTGCACCTCCCAACCTGTCCCTACAGCTGGAAGATGGACTTCTTGGCTTGTGCCTCAGTTCAGTGGCAGCCTAAGGTGTGACAGGGAGAGACTTCCTGGGCAGAGCTGAGTCAGGCAGACAGGCAGCACCTCCTGGCCCAGTGCGATGATGTCTTTCAACTGAGCGGGGTCGCCCGAACCTTGCACTTATCCAAGGCCCTGGGAGAGGGGCGAGCAGGAGGCCTGTCGCTGTCCCAGTCCTGGGAGCTGGGAGCTGGGAGCTCGTTACTCCTTACTCCCGAGCCCAAGGCATTTTCCCAGGGAACAGCTCCATCTCTTCCCAAATAGCTTCCCGGGACCTGGTGTCTGGGAGAAAATGCTTACCCGCTTCCCCTCCTACTCCCGCCTCTTCCCACAAGTGAATACAACTTGTTAGCAGGATGCACTTTCTAACGTGGCCATGGCCGCCCCACCGTGTGAAGGCCCTCTTTGCCTGCCGAGTTTCCCTTGGTGTGCATTTCTAGTTAGGGCTCTGATGCCATGGGACAGAGGATGGCGGTACAGGGGATTTTTCCCCAGGAAGATGAGAGAGAAGGTCTTGGTGTTGGGCTCCATGGCGCCAGCCCCCAGGGAAACCCATTTCAGCCCTAGAGGGGCCGGGGTTGGAGGCTGAATTTCTCTGGGTGCTGCTCTGCTTGGCTTTCCCCGTTCCCTCCTTCCCACCGAGGAGAAGGTGGCCACCCTGCTCCGGGGGAGGCCGCGGAGGCAGAACGTGAGGTGGGTCACGAGTATACCCTGGGAGTGTGGCTGGGCCTGCAGGGACTGGGTGTGAAGTTGGGGTGCGAGGGCATGTTGCTGTACAGTTTGAGCTTTTTGGAGACATTTCCATAAACTTTATTTAAATAAATAAGAATAGGGCATCACCCACCTGCCCGCCATGAAATGGAGTTGGAGGGGAAGAGGGAGAAGGGCTCATGTTCACTGCGGTGGGAGCCAGTCTGATGGCTGGGGTTCAGCACACCTTGCCTCCCTGAGCTGTGACCTGGGGTGGGTGGTGCCAATGCAGGGCTTTCTGGGACAAGAAGTGCGCCTGCCTCGGGCTGTGAGGCAGAAGGAAGAGAGAGACCACACCTTATGAGGAGCTGGGCCCAGGGCTCAGGCCACTCCCTGGTGGCCGCCACTGCTGCCCACCCCAGGGCTGCCCAGGGTCCCTGGTCTCTGAACTGCCCTGCACAACCAACTTTGCTGGGCCACCTGGCCGCCACTGGGGAACTCCAGGGAGCCCGGGTCTCAGCCCTGGGCTCTGGAAGCTGAGGCTGTTGCCAGACCCATAAGGCAGGGAAAGGCAGCTTCTTCCCCAGACAGGTGGAGGGGACAGGGACAGGGAAAGTCCTATCTGTAGGTCTCGGCCTTGTGGGTCAAAAAGGGTGGGCTGGAACTCAGGGACGTCCGGGTGCGAATCTTTCCTGACCTTGGGGACCCGTAGAGTCTCTGGACCCATGTCCAGGCTGCAGAGCCGTCTGTGGACTTGGGTGGAGAAAGAAAAACACCTTAATTACATCTTTAGACAATTACCAGTGTAAGCAACACTGCAGTCCATGTGCCCCACCTGTGGCCCTGGCTCTGGGGCACTTGATGTTGACGTTATTTATGTCAGTGGGAGCTTTGGAATTGCTCATTAGTAGGTGCTTTAATAAAGAGCATATATTGCTACAGTGCACACTTGTTCTTTTCAAATTTTAGGAATTATACTTCAAGGTTATTGGTTTCCTTTGAAGTCAGGCTGAGCGTTTTATTTCATGTACTGTAAAGCTCCATGCAGAAGGCTCCCTGGCTTCACCTCGTGCAAAGGCACAGGCAGTCAGGGCCTGGCCAAGGCCGGTGAGCTTCACACCCATCTGGGCTGCTCTAACCTTTCCTGCCCTCCTGTCTCTAATCGTGGGAGGCGATGGGCATCGGTCATCAGTTCCGCCTGAGCAGACACAGAAGCTGGGGTTGGAGGAAGGGTAGGGTGCGCAACCAGGGTTAATTTACACAATACACGTGCGAAACGTGGGACGTGATCCACCCAGGCCACGTGGAAACCTGTGGGCAGCCCTGTCCTGAGGGCTGGGGCGTCTGCAGAGCGAGGGTGGGCACTTCCTCGAGTGCAGGGCGGAGAAGATGCAGGCCACAGCTTCAAAGTGAGCGAGCAGAGGCAGGGGAGGTGCAGGTGCAGGTGCAGACAGGTTTACGTCAGGAGGCCCTGAGAGCCGCGGTGCCCAGTCCTGCAGCTGCGACTGCCTGAGCCCTCCACCTGCCCTGAGGAAGCCTGCCTTGGCCGCGCTAGAGACGCAGGCATCGCCTGTTCTGGGCTGTGGTCATCGGTCCTCGCCGGCCCTCAGGAGGCCTGATGCTGTCACAGCAGCCCAGCATCGAGCTCAGCCCAGACCTGGCGCATTCTGGAGCGCAGCGCGCTGCAGTTCCGCAACCGGCCAAAGGGGGCGCCACACGCAGTCGGGTGGGAAGGGCCTGCGGTCCGTGCCCGAAGTCCCCAGGCGTCTCTGCAGCTGTCCTCCGTGCTCAGGCCCCTCCCCTCCCTTCACGCGCACACAGGCACACACTCACCGGCACACTCATACAAACACATGCTCACACAGGCACAGACCACGCAAGCGTGCGGATAGGGTGGAGACAAGCAAGGCCGTGGCAGGAGACAGCACAGCACTTGCTCCGGAGCCTCTGGCCATGCTGAGCGTCCACTGGTGGCCCGGGTGTGGGGACCCCACCGTCTCGGTCAGAAGCGCCCCAGACTCAGCCTTCACGTGCGCCTCCTCTGCGTAAAGCCGAGGTATCTCCTACTCTGACTCACAGCCCCTGCCCTCGGTCCTCCCCCCACCCTGCTTTCTGGCCAGGGGTCACGTCATTGCAGCATCATGGTTCCATCTGCCTGGTGAACTCTTACTTATCCTTCAAAGCCCAGCTTGGCCACGCCTCTCTGACACCCCGTGGCCTTGTGTAGGCCTCTGCTCCGTGTCTGGCTGAGTTCCTTGAAGGAAATCACCTGTGGGTCCACAAGCCTGGCCTGGCCTGGATGGTCACTGCAGAAGGGAAGGGATCACACACATCTGTAGAAGGAAGTTCTCCCTCTGCTTCCCCCCAGCTGCGGGGCCTGTGGAAGAGAGCCTGGCCGGCGTCCACAGTGGAGAGCTCTGGCCTCGGCCTCCAGGACCCTGCCCATCGTGTCCAGCGGGCGGCGGGGTGGGTCTGTAGGGCACTGGTGCGGGGCTGGGCCTGACCTCGAGCAGCCGCCGTTCTGGGAGCCCCAGCTGTGCCACAGTGTCCACCAGAAAAGGGAGACGGGAGTGGAGTTGTTCACACGGCTGCCTGCCTAGCTCAAACCTGTTTCTGCTTTGGACCTTACCGAATCCGCGGGAGTGAGCCTGAGCCGGGCCTGGGTCCATGTGGGGCACTGCCGGCTGGGGGGGGGCAGAGACGGAGGGGACACAGCCTCATCCCCCACTCTGTCCTCCGGGTCCCATCCATGCAGACCCTACCCCTTCCTCAGCTGTGATTCCAGGCCAAACTGTCAGCGCCCAGGCCTTCCCGATGGCCGTGCCCAGGGCCAGGCCTCGCCGCCCTCCAAGCTCAGGCAGGTGCCCCTGGATTCAACCCCAGCGCTGCCTCTGTGACTCTGACCACGCTGCCAAGTCTGTCTGAGCCTTTGCTTCCTAATGGAGCTGAAGCTAAAATAGCTCCAGGGCCTGGGGCGGAGTAAGCGACAATAACACAGCGCCTGGCCTGGGCCTCACAGGGACCCTGCAGCTCTCAAAAAACGATATCAGGGCGGCCAGCGGTTTGCCCACCAGCTGGTGCAGAGCCTGCTTGTCCTTGTCGGGCGCGGCACTGGCTGTCACCTGCAGTGCAGGCTGGGGTGGGAAGGTGCGTAAACATCCCCAGGACAGAGCCAGAGGCCATGCTGTCCCTGCTGTCTCCTGAGTATCTGTCACTCCTGCGTCCAGCCTGGGCTGGAGCCCAAGGCAGGGTCTGTGCAAGCTTGCGCCCATCTTAGCCCCAGGAAGCTCCTGGTGTGCGCTGTCCAGGAGCCGGGAGACATCGGCAGGGAGGTGATCGCTGCAGTTTCCCCAGGCCTGAGCTGGCCTCCGAATGACCCGGAAACGATGTTAATTTGTAACCTCAAACCTTTGCATCTGACCTGTACCTAGGTCTTTGTAATGGAAATTTTGACACAGTGATAGACCTGCAGAGAGCATTTCATATTAAATTGATATAGGGGACCAGGGGTTTAGCTCAGTTGTTCCGCTGCCTGCCTCACAAGCAGAAGGACCTGAGTTTGATTCCTGGTACCAAAAAATAAATAGATTAATTAATAAATTAAATTAATTGGTGTCTTGTAAGCCTACTACTGCTATTGGTTAAATGGCAGTTAAACACCCAAGCTTTCTTGGGACTCTCAGAAATTATTTGAAAAGTGATTATGTTCTATTGATTTAATAATTTTAAATTAATTAGAAAGTCATTGCAGTTTTCAGTATATTCCTTCACAAATAAATCCACCTTTTTTTTTTTTTGGTACCAGGGGTGGAACTCGGGACCATGTGCTTGCGAGGCAGGTGGTGGAAATCCTGAACTAAATCCCCGGCCCTAAATCCCTCTTATTTATAGACCTATTAGATTCCCTGAAAATGTTTTATTTTCATAATCTGATAGCTAACTGGCCCAACTGGCAATGGAATTTAAAGCAAGACTCGGTCCTTTGCTGAACCCTGATCCTTGGTTCCTTCTCTTTGGGGTGGCCAGCATCACAGAAGGATCCGAGGCAGGGACCCTGGGGTCAGGAGCACAGCCTCTGCCCTCAGACCACTTTGCATTCTGCCGAAGCTGCCGACAGGATGCGTGTCCCTGAACCTGTCTGAGGACAGAGCCTCAATGCGATCACTGGGAAACCAAGTAAGTCACCATTTGTGCAGTATGAGGCAGTGCCTAGCTAGCAACCCTCGTTGTAACTGTGTAAGCTTTTGCTAGGGTTATTTTTAAGCCTCAGTTTTCTGACTTGAAATGGTGTGGTGGGTAATAAAACCTCAGGCTGTGAGTTTTCCAAGCTTTGCCTGTGGGGCCTTTGTTGGTAACTCCTGTGCAAGGAAGTGGCCGCAGCTTCCATTACTGTGTGGACTGAATTCCCCTTAATGAGGAAGCCCAGGCAAGGGAGCCCCTACCCGCCACACCCGGGACAGGGAAGGGAGGGCAGAGGATGCCGAGGATGCAGGTTCAGCTGGGAGGAGTCTACAGGGTGGTGGGACAGAGAGAGCGGGAGCACAGTTCGAACTGGCTTTGTGCTCAGAATCGCTTCCCCTTGGTGTTTTCTCTGGAGACTGCGGGAGGTCTGGACAGCTTCCAGTTTGTTTTTTTCTACTAAACTGCTGTTTCTTTGAACAGCACTGTGCTCAGCTCAGCAGGGTCTGAAGGGGCAGAGGAGCCAGGAGAGCAGCCCTGGTGACCAGGAGAGGTGCGTAGGGGTGGGGAACAGGGAGTGCTCCCCACTGTCACAGGTGGGATGTGAGCAGCTCCCCGCTCGCAGGGCCCCACGGGAGCTGGGGACACCACCGTGCAGTCCTCACAGACACCACCCGTGGGGTGTCCTGTGGGGTCACACAAGGGCAGACAAGGTTGTCGGCAGAGGTTCGAAGGAAACGCCGCCCAGGGTCGGGAGTCTGGGAAGCAGTCAGACCTGGCCGTGGTGTGGTGTGGGCCGTCACGGGCTTCTGTGTCCAGTCAGCTAGTGAGGACACAGGGCTGACCTGGCCCTGCCACCCTGCAGGGCCGGACAGCGCAAAGGGGCCTTGCCTGAGCTGGGTCCCTGGGAGGAGGCGGGGCAGCTGTTGGAAAATGGGGAAGTGCCCCTCACAGCTGCAGATGCCAGCCCTGCCTCCCTGAGGTGATTGAGGCTGGTGCGAAGCTGATGACACCCCTCTTCCTGACTGCACCCATGCTTTAGCTCGTGTTCTAGGACACCTCTGGGTGTCTGCACACCAGACTGGGTCATTTCTGACTGCCATAAATGTATTCGGTTCTTGGCACTGAAAGCTGGGAAGTCGGAGAGTCGGGTGCTGGCGTCAGCGAAGGGCCTGTGTGCTGGGTCACTTGTGGCAGGCGGTGGCCGGGCAGGAGAGGACTGAGCTCTCATGTGTAACAACCCACTAGGGACGGCTCCCGTCGGTCCGAACCTGCTGCCTGCTCCACTCTGAACAGGCTGAACCTGCAGAGGGGAGGCCTAGGCCGAACACTGGTCTTCGGCTCCCTCTCACCGCACGGCCTCGTTCAGCACAAGGCGACTCCTGAACATGCTGTGTGCGCCCGAACCGGGAATGCCTCCGTCCCAAACCAGAAGCAGGAGCATGGCCCACACCGGCACCTGTGGCTCAGGCTGGTGCCTCAGCGGCTCCGTCGGATTCTGACCAGGGTCAGAGCTGCCCCTCCACAGAGGTGGCTGTCCCTACCGCTAGAGGTGACATTGCACGGGAAATAGCACAGTAGTAAAGGGTCCAGCGGGAAGGGAGAATAATCAAAGCGAGGACACAGTCTGCAGGAACTCCACCAGCAGGAGAGCAGTAGGAGCCCTCCAAAGCACCAAGCCAGCGCTGCGCCGTGCAGCCCAGAGTTCTGTTGCCAGCAGCAGAGAGAGTGAATAGGAGAGGGGCTCATTAAAGCGCAGTCCCGTGTGACTGCCCCCACCCCCACTCTCTCACGGCTGCCTTTCCTGGCCTCTGATTTGGGGTCTGTGCCTGCTAACCCCAGGGCCCATGACTGACTCTTAGCTGGGGAGGGGCTGGGTGCCGTGTGGCCCAGTGCCACTCTGGGGAGCGGGCACTGCAGGAGGGAAGTGACCCAGACATACGAGGGAGCTGCGGGGCGGGAGGGGGCGGGAGGATGGCCTGGAGAAGAGATGAGGCGGTACTGACGACGCCACGCCCTTCCTGAGGGCTGCCCTTTCCACAGCTGGCCTGGGCAGCACAGGGCTGCCATGGAGGCCACCTTCTTCACTGGACAGAGAGCGAACACTCTGTCGACTGTCATGGACACAGGCAGGCTTATTAGCCCTGAGAGACTCGCCTGTGATAGTCCCAGGTCTGATAAAAGTGAAATCTCATGTCATTTTGTCACTCACCTAGAATAATGAAGAAAATGCAAGTGTTTAGGGTCCACTGGTGGGTCTCCTAGAAATGCTTTCTTCCTTCCTTCCTGTGGAGCAGGGACTTTCTCTGAGAGTCAGAGTTGAGGGACTAAGGTCCACAAGAGCAGGGGCATTTCTGGCCCTACTGAGCAGACCCCTGGCTCTGGGAGGGACTGGGAGAACATGAAAGGCTTTCTCACCACCAGAGCTCCTGGTCCAGCGTGAGGCACTGGGTGACTACACAGTGACAAAAGAATGTGGCAGGACAAATGAGGCCTTCACTGTCCCCAAAAGGTCTGTGTTCTCAGGGTGGTGCTCGTGGGAGGTGTGGAGCCTTTAAGGGGTGGGACTTAAGGCGAGGTCTTTAGGTCTTTGAAGAGCTAAAACTATAAAACTGGTAGAAGAAAACATAGGGTGGAATCTTCATAATTTCATGGCTGTGACACTAAAGCACAGGCAACAAAAGGAAATACAGGTAAGTTGAATCTAACAGCCTTTGCGTATTGAGGATGGGCGGGCCTGATAGCTTTCTTCACTCTGCTTCCTGTTCCCAGCCTGTTTGGAAGTGGTCCTGGATTGTCCTAAATGTGCCAGGGAGCAGTTTGCCACTCCGTGTATTTTCACACAACCTTAGTGCTCAAGGTGTTTTTCTGATTCTTTCTTATCCTGATGATTTGGTCCACCTACTTAGTTATCACAAGTACTTTTAGCAGCTGAGAAACGTGAAGGTTGGTTCCGTAGCCTTTCTGCTAGCCTATGCTCTTCAGCAACTCTTTGCATCTCTAGATGAAGCAAGATGCTCTAGAGGCCTCCAAGGAGAATCACGGGAGGAGGTGGAACCTCACCCCAGCCATCTCTACTCCTTGCCACCTAAGGGAAGGAAGTCACTGTGACACTTAGTTAAGACTTGTGCCTTGGTCTGGCTGGCCTCAGGAGCAAGAGTAGGTGGGGCAATGGTGGACCCGAATCTTCCCAGGGTACCAGGAGCGAGACAGGCACACGATGGGGCCTCCCGGCACCCTGGCCTTGGAAAGCGCACCTAGCTGACAGCCTCTGTGGAGGTTGGCACTGCTTCTGTCTTCAGAACTGGTGGGGCTTCGCGTCTTAGGACAGTGGTTCAGCTGGATCCCTGGTGGTCCTCCACGCTTGTTGCTGAGGTGCCCAGAGTCCTCCAGGGCCTGCAGTGGGACACCTTGTGTCCCCATGAGGACCAGGAGAGGTGCGGGTGTGGAGCCCTGGCATCTGTTCCCCAGGCTGCAGCAGTTTTGGCCTGGGCCCCCCACGTGTGGCTGCTGGGACCTGGGAGACCTCAGCGGGTCCTCCTCCTGCCCTCCGCGGGTCCTCCTCCTGCCCTCAGCGGGTCCTCCTCCTGCCCTTCCTCAGCGGGTCCTCCTCCTGCCCTCAGCGGGTCCTCCTCCTGCCCTTCCTCAGCGGGTCCTCCTCCTGCCATTCCTCAGCGGGTCCTCCTCCTGCCATTCCTCAGCGGGTCCTCCTCCTGCCCTC